TTTCACTTTTTAAAATTTTTTATTATCAAAATGTTTTCGTTGACACTATATTTTTTGCTACGGTTATCTATTTTGAACGATTTAAAATCGGTTAGAAAGCTTGCAATGTAGCCATGATAAATATGTTATGAACGAAGTTTAAATGACGAAAATTATTTTGCATGAATTATTGAACGAAAAATAAACCGTAACTATTAATTTCATTTCTTTCGGCATTTGTCACTTGTTATTATGAACTCATCGTTTATCGATTTTTAAATTTGAAATATGTATTTCAAAATTTGTCGTGAATACTTCAAAACGATAACAAAAACCTCACTCGACGAAAGAATAAAATAACCTCTAAATAGGCCAAAACTGGTAACACCAAAACAAAAATTGAAAGAAAAAATATCTAATTTTTTCACTTTTCACATTCTCATTTTTGCAAAAACCTTAAATGTATCAATTAAATGAAAAGTGACATTTTTTGTCACTTTTCTATGAAAAAGTGACATTCTGTCACTTTTCTAAAAAAAAGTCACACACCCTCCCTAATTTTGTGATCCTTTTAACTCCTCGTTCCCCAATTTTTGAATTATGTCATTTTTTTTTTGAGTTTATGTCACTTTTTTTAAAAAGTAAAAAAATGACAATTTTTATTAAAAAGTGACATTGTGTCGCTTTTTTCATTTTACACAGTATTTTTTACTTCCTAAAAACCTTTTACATGATTTTTCAAAACACCCCTAATTTTAATGGTATTTTTGTAAGTACCCCAATATTAATTAGATCTTAAAAAACCTTAAGAAGGATTCAAACCTTAGAATATTCTTACGAAATCAAGATTCGCCTGCAAGCCGGATATGACTGCCACTGAGCTCGGTTCGTAGGACTGAAACTGTTATTTTTGCTTCCATTTAGTATTATAATTAATGGAGTGCTATGTAAAATCAATCAATTATTAGAGGATTGGTCCAGAGATAGGCCACCATTGTTTTACAATGTGCCGTTGCAATCCATACAGCTTCATCAAACTGTCATTTTCGATAAAATGGCCACGTTTTGTGTTGATCTCCGTTGTACAACTTCAGAGAAGTTTAAATACAAGTAAAAGTTATTATTAATTTTTTTTAACAAATATAATTTTGAGAGGAAATTACATCAAATCTGACATTTAAGTTGGGAAAAATTCATATTTCAGGTGTATGGTTTACACCAATTCAAAAGTCAAATTGATAGTTTAACAATTCAAAACTCAGGTATTAGGTAATTAACTAAAAATATTTATTAATTAGGTTACAATTATACAATTAATGGTCACATATACATAATTATAGGTCACAATTTATTTATTGGTCACGTATTATCAAATTATTTAGTCATTGATGATTTCGAGGTCACAAATTGAAAAAATTATAGATCACAGTTAATTTTATTGATCACATATTTTCAAATTTGTTGGTCACAGATTATTTTTCAGTCACATATTGTCAAATTTTTAGGTCACAGTTAATACTTGATCACAGATAACCAAATACTTAGTCACATACCACTGACACTACCACTTCAGCCACTTTTGACCACCCTCACCCCGTCGCCCCCATTACCACCACGACCACCAATGTTACTGTTACATCACCACCAACAAACCCACCACCACCGCATCCAACCATACACTATCACCACCACCACCACCAACTAGATTCGAACCTACTACACACCACATCTACACCACGCCATTGCCACCACTGCACCACGTCGTCACCACCACTGCACCACCTAACAAAAAACCACGTCGTACCATAACTACCACCCAACAAAAAACCCCAAACCCGTCATAGCCACCACATCCCCACCCATCGCGACGCCACCACAACCACAACTCCACACCGCTACTGCACACACACCTACATCACACACTCATAGCACCTGTCGCGACGCTGTTGTGAAAGTGTTACACGGCAGTAAAGATCCACCACCCCAACAGGTGCTCCAAGTGGTGGTCTTGACGGAGAAAATTTCAGATCGAGCTGTTGTGCTTCTGCCTCGATTGTGGCAGTGAGTTCGACGGTGGATTGTTGATGTGGGTGGTAGTCTTCGACGGTAGACGGTTGGCCGATGGTAGGTGTTGGTTGACGTGGGTAGAGGGGAGATTTACAGAGAGAGGGAAGGGGAGGAGAGATGAGGTGCGAAAGAGGTGAGAATGTTAAGAGTGATAAATTAGGGTTAGCATTTTAATATATTACCTGATTTTTGAATAATGAAACTTGGTCCCTGATTTTTGAATTTCAATCTTCTAACACCTGAATTATGTAATTTCCCCATTGGATAATTCTATTTGTACATGGGGGTTACCGAAAATATTAAGATTCGAACCTACTACACACCACATCTACACCACGCCATTGCCACCACTGCACCACGTCGTCACCACCACTGCACCACCTAACAAAAAACCACGTCGTACCATAACTACCACCCAACAAAAAACCCCAAACCCGTCATAGCCACCACATCCCCACCCATCGTGACGCCACCACAACCACAACTCCACACCGCTACTGCACACACACCTACATCATACACTCATAGCACCTGTCGCGACGCTGTTGTGAAAGTGTTACACGGCAGTAAAGATCCACCACCCCAACCGGTGCTCCAAGTGGTGGTCTTGACGGAGAAAATTTCAGATCGAGCTGTTGTGCTTCTGCCTCGATTGTCGCAGTGAGTTCGACGGTGGATTGTTGATGTGGGTGGTAGTCTTCGACGGTAGATGGTGGTCGATGATAGGTGTTGGTTGACGTGGGTAGAGGGGAGATTTACAGAGAGAGGGAAGGGGAGGAGACATGAGGTGCGAAAGAGGTGAGAATGTTTAGAGTGATAAATTAGGGTTAGCGTTTTAATATATTACCTGATTTTTGAATAATGAAACTTGGTCCCTGATTTTTGAATTCCAATATTTAAACACTTGAATTATGTAATTTTCTCATTTAAGTTTACAAATTCAAAAATCAGATCTAAACTTTATTTAATAAAAAATCAGGTATTACATAATAATTATATATTAAATATTTTCACACAATTCAATTACAAACCTTAATTTTATTTCATTCTTCTCACTCTCCCACCCCATCTTCTTCATTTCCTTTTCACGCCTTCCTCCCTGTCACACGTCGTTGTCGCCACCATCGAAGCACCCGCCGCAAAAATCTCGTCGTCGCTACCACTTAAGCAGTACCGCGTTGCTTAATGAATAGATCGAAGCCCCTGTGCACTGAAGTGTAGGGACAGCAATCTGAAATCTTCTTCGATTTGTGGCATTTCTCTGACTATTTTCCGTGGCCCATGGTTTGCATGGTAGCGTGGTGGTATGGCTTCGAGATGGCGACGCTGTGAACGTCGCTGCCGTGGCTCTATTTGATTTGATTTTTTTTTTTTTGGTTTTGATCGTTAGATGGTGTTTTGTATGGAGCTAGGATGGTGTTTATGTGGTGGTGGACTTGATGATTTTGTTGGTGGGGTGGTGGCTTAGTTGGCGACGGCGACGGCGACGAGGTTAGAGGTGGTGGCGGGTCTGTGGTGGGTGGTGGTTGTGGTATGGTGATGTCTTTGTTGTTGTTGGCAACGGGGATGGTGGTCGATCTACTGGCGGCGACGGGGATGGAGGTTGTGGCAGGTTTAGGATTTCTTTTGTTGAATTTGATGGTGATGGTTTTGTTGGTGGTGGTGTTGGTGCTGTTGTGGTGGCGACGGCGATTATGAGGTTGGCGTTGGATCTGGTGGCAGCAACGAGGTGGTGGTTGTTGATGGCTAGAGATCTCATAAAGTTGATTGTCATGGTTTTTGTTAGCGGTTGATTGGATCTGGTGGCAACGATTTTGTTAGTGGTGATGTCGTCAATAAATAAGTTGTGACATATGATTATGTATCTGTGATCATTAATTATATAATTGTGATTTTATTATAATTAATTAATAAATAAATATCTGATTTTTGCATTAATTAAATTTAAAACCTGATTTTTGAATTGTGCATAGTTAATGCCTTAATTGTGAATTTTCCCCTAATTTTGAAGTAACTTTTTTAGACTATGAATCTTAAAGAAACAACTTTTAAACTTAGTAAAAGGCTTATTAGTACAAAACATCCCTTCATTTCGTCTTTAGTATGCAAAATGTCTTTGTATTTCAAATTTTTGCATTTTCATCCCTATTTCCAATTTCATTGTGAAAAATGTCATTTTCATCAATTTTTATCCAATTTCTCAAATAAAATTTGTAAAATGACAAATATAACCTATTATTTAAATTAAAAAAAAGATAAATAAAGAATAAATTGCAATCATACTCTTTTTTTTCCCCAAAAAAGTACAAATAAATTAAATCAGAAAATAATAAAGAAAAGAAAAGAAAAGAAAAATCATTTCTTCTTCCCCGCCCCCCTCCATCTCTACCAAAAACTGAAAATAGTACTTCTAGGTCCTTCAAATTCCATAAAATATTTAGGATAATTTTCTAGTTTTGTAAAAAAGTTTGTCTTCAAGGGATATGACGAACGGTGTTAATGGTGGTTGGTCCAATTGTATGCACGACGGAGGTGGTGATAGAAATTTGCAGCCATCGATAGCACCGCCACAGCCACATCCTTCAAATCCTTAGGTAATTAAATCATTCTTTCTTTGTTCTTGCTGTGTAAATCAAAAGTTTATTCTACTTCGTTGTGTGAGTCCAGATAAGAATGAACTGGCTGCAAATAAGGGGTATCCCTTTACATTTTCTCAAAGGAAGGAGCTTGAAAGATTAGCCATAATCTGTAAGTTTTATTAGCACAAAATGTCCATACGTTTGGGTTTTAGTGTACAATGCGTCCTTATATTTCAAATTTTTGCATTGTCGCCACTGTGTCTGCGGATTGTCTCTTTCGTGCACCACCAAACCCTTCAATTTCCTGTAAATCGGCTCTTCTTTTTCTTCAATGATTTGTTCTTTTTACACTTTTGATACTCGATTAGATGTGGATTTTAAAAAGATGTTTCTTGATATTGGTGTTTGAGTGCGATAACTGGTCATCTAGAAAGGTGTAAGCGAACAGATAACAACAAGTGAAGGTTCTCAAAATATATGGTGCCCCATCACAAGTACCGTGGGCGCCATTTGTAGAAAAGTCATCACCGTTCAAGAAAGCTTGTGGAAGTAAAAAAACGACGCCACTGGCAATAACGAGAATTAAAGCCATCTTTTGTTTAATCTTAAGATCGATCTAAGTATTTTTATATCCTCGAGTAAGAAATATGAGAGATTGCTTTTTAATATTTCTACATCCTCTAGCATGTTCCAATCTATTTTCTGGTTTCGTTTCGTGGCAAGGGTGGGGGTGGGGATGGGAGAAGAAAAAGATTTTTCTTTTCTCTCATGATTTTTTAATTTAATTTGTTTTGGATTTATTTTTACTTTTTTTTTAAAAAAAAGGGAGTATGATTACAATTTTTTTTTTGTTTTATTTAAATAGGAGAGTATATCTGCCATTTTACAATTTTTAATTGAGGAATTGGATAAAAATTGATAAAAATGACGTTTTCCACAATGAAATGTGAAAATATGGGTGAAAATGCAAAAAAAAAAAAAAAAAAAAA